GTGGAAGCCAGGCACCATCTAGTTGTACTGGACCCAGTCTGGTGGAGGCTGTGGTAGTTGTGGTCCATTACTCTGGTTTTAGGTTTTTTTGGAGTTAATAATTGCCTCATTGTTTTTCATTTACTTAATTTTCTGTGTTCCTAGCTTTAATTCTTCCTTCACTTCCAGCAGTCTCTCAGTACTGTTTTCTGTGTGGTCAAATACACAACACAGTTTCTGTCTTCTTTTGAGACTTTCCTTCTGAAACCCTCTGCTTCTCCTTTTTCAGTCTCACTGGTTATTTTCCTCCAACTCTTCTGTTTTTAATTTCAGCTCTCATATTTTTAATTTCTAAGAACTTTTTCCTTATTCTCTGTTCCTTTTCATAGCATATGGTTTGTTTCATGAATATAATACTGTCTTATAGCTGAGAATGTTATATAGGTTTTTAAATATTTTCTGCATGTCTTTATTTCTTCTGATTTCCTTTTTTTCCCCTTGGTTTTGCTGTTTTGTCTCTCTTGTTGGAGACTTTCTATAAATGTTTTGTGATACTTAGCTGTTCATTCACATTTGGGAATAAGGCATTAAAAAGTTGATTAGATAGGGTTGTCTTTTGATGGTTCTGACTGCTGAGTGATTAGGTGATGAGCTATATTTTGTTGCTGTTTTTGGAGAATTAAAAAAAATCAGTGTTTGTAGTTTTTTTTTTCCTTTTGGGAGGAAGCTATTAATTTTTTTTTTTTTTCAGAGAAGAATCCTTCAGCCCCCTATCTGGGTGGGACTAGTGGGAAGAGGCATACAAGCCTGGTTGCCATTATTCTGAGAATGGTGTGGGGGAGGGGGAGGTACTGGAGAGTCTCATGCTTTGGTAGGCAGAGTTCTACTTTACCCTTCCCTGTTTTCAGTCAGGAGCCTCATCCTGTCCCCTTCTGTGTCAGGTATTACTGAGGTTGGAATTCTCTGCTTTAAATTTCTCAGAAAATAAACTTGTCTCCTGCAGTTGGGCGGGAAGGAGAATTCATCTGGCTTCATAGAATGAAGGGGGTGGGAGAAGGGTAGGTGGGCAAGGTTCTTATTACTTCTTAGTAAGTCACTCCCCTCAGTTTTAAACCCATGCCTTACATACCCCCATCTTCTGTGTGACTGGTCCCTCCCAGTGCCAGAGCATCTTAGGATGTCAAAGACCAACCAGCTCACTTCTCACTCATATGTCCCCTAGGCAAGGACTTCACTTTAGTTTCTTTTCACTCTCTTCTACAGAGTGGCACTTAGACTTGTATAAATACCGTTTTTAACATTTAAAAAAATGCCCTTTTTGTTTCCTTAACACAATGGTAAACTTAAGGGCAGGCACCATGTCTCCCGATTTGTTTTTCTTTCTTTGTGTCTCAATGTATAGTAGCTGCTCAGTAAATACTGGTGACTGCCCAGTAAACTCCCATTTTCCTGCTCAAGTTTCTCTGAAGAGGGGAGACCATAATCATTTCACTCCCTTGGTACCCTAGAATATACAATGGAAGTCAGCATTTGGCTCCCAGAAGCAGAATAAGATTTTCTTCACTATTGCTACATGTCCCTCTCTCTGTCTCAAGTAGAGAGACAGGTGAGTGGGCATTATTAGGTTGTGCTTTTGTTGAAACTCTTGTTTTAAGAAAGGACAGTGTTAGTTTTCTTTTTCTACAGAAAAGAGTTTACTGGATTTATATATTGTTTCTGTTTGGGGACTCAGTACCTTAACTGAGTCTTAGGAACCCAGAATTGTAACTTGTCAAACCAAAGAACTAAATCACAGTGATTCCTACATTAGAAGAGCTATCTGATCAAGTACCAGAGATATTTAACATCATATATACTGGAATAGAAGTTAAACATTCACTGTAACATTTTTAACAGCTGAAGAGTGAAAAAAAAAAAAAGTGCCTACACAGCTTAAATGTTTGTCAGTACGACTTGCCATCAAATTGATCCTGACCCATAATGACCCTATCTGTGTGTCAGAGTAGAACTGTGCTCCATAGAGTTTTGAATGGCTAATTTTTCGGAAGTAGATTACCAAGCCTTTTTTCCAAGGTGCCTCTGGGTGGAGTTGAACCACCAACCTTTTTGTTAGCAGCCAAGTATGTTAACTGTTTGTACCGCCCCGGTACTCTTTATCAGCAAGAGACTGGTAAATAAAAGAAATATAGCCAGTAGAATAAGATTGGTATCTAAATGCTGTTATGTAAGTATCTCCAAAACACTTTTTAAAATTGAGAAAAAAAAAAAAGATGCAACTTACTCTTTGTAGCATCCTTCTATCTGGATTTTAAAAATGATATATACAGATGCATGTATAGGCATAGAATATTTCTGGAAGGATATGCAAGTAATTAACAGTGACTGCCTCTGGAAAGGGGCCTGGAGAGCTAAAGCAAAAAGGAATGTTACTTTTCATTATATAGCCCTTTGTAGTATTTGCAGCTTTTTTTGCCATATGCACATATTATGTTTTCAGCTTTTAAAATTGTTAATTAAGAATAACTGAAAAATAAAAAGACAAACAACCTAATGAAAAAATGGACAAAGGACTTAAATAGACATTTCACTGAAGAGGAAATGACCAACAAGCACACAGAAAGATGCTCAGCATCATTAGTCGTTGTTGTGTGTCAACAAGTCGATTCCAACTCATAGTGACCCTGTAGGACAGAGTAGAACTGTCCCATAGGGTTTCCAAGGCTATATCTTTATGGGAGCAGATTGCTAGCTGTTTTCTTCCACGGAATGGTTGGTGGGTTTGAACTGCCAACCTATCGGTTAGCAGCTGAGCGCTTAACCATTGCGTCACCAGGACTCCTTCATTAGTCATTAAAACCTCATTGCTGTCAAGTCGCTTCCAACTCATAGTGACCCTGTAGGACAGAGTAGAACTGCCTAATGGGTTTCCAAGGAGCAACTGGCGGATTTGAACTGCCAACCTTTTGGTTAGCAGCCGTAGCTCTTAACCACTATGCCACCAGGGCTCCCATTAGTCATTAGGGAGATGCAAATCACAACCACGTTGAGATACCACTTCACTCCTAACTAGAATGGCCGTGATTAAAAAAAAAGAAAATAACAGGTGTTGTCAAGGATATGGAGAAATTGAAACCTTCATCCATTTTTTTGGTGGGAATGCAAAATGGTACAACTGTGGAAAACAGTTTGGCGGTTCCTCAAAAGGGAAGTTAAACACAGAACTACCATATGACCGAGCAATCCCAATCGTAGGTATACACCCAGAAGAACTGAAAGCAGGAATGCAAACAGAAACCTGTACGCCAGTGTTTGTTGCAGCTCTGTTCACAATAGCCAAAATGTGGAAACGACCTAAATGTCCATCAATAGATGAATGGTAAACCAACTGTGGTCTATACATACAATGAAACACTACCCAGCCATAAAGAGAAATGAAGTCCTGATACATGCTACAACATAGATGAACCTTGAAAACATTATACCGGGTGAAATAAGTCAATCACAAAAGGACAAATATTATATGATCCCATCATACAAAATAGGCAGATGTATAGAGACCAAAGCTTATTAGTGGTTAACAGGGGTAGGAGGGAGGGGGAAAGAGGGAGATAGTGGGCACTGAAGTTCTGTTAATGGTGGTGGAATAATTTGGGAATGGATAGTCTTGATGGTTGTACAACATGATGAATGTAATCAGTGCCACTGAATTGTATGTGTAAAATTTGTTGAATTGGCAAATGTCTTGTTGTATATATTTTTACCACAATATAAAATTGTTAACAAGTAATAAAGGAACACTGTGACAGAAAATACAATCTTTTAAGAAGCTTAGGAATGGAATATACTGGGAGCGTGACACCGAAACTGAATCAAGTGACATTTCTTTTTCTACCTTTTGTTCAGAATAATTTCTACCTTTGGTTAACAGAGTAAAGTATAACCTTAAAATTCAAAATCTTTCCATGGTCTTGAAGGCTCTCTCTGCCCTCTTTTCCTGCTGTTCTTCTCCTGCACCCTTCACTTTAACCCTGCTCAGCACCTTACTGTTCCTCAAACCTGCCAAAGACAACCCTGCCTCAGGGCCTTTGCCCTTGCCAATCCCACTGCCTGGATCCTCTTCCTCCAGATACCCGTGTGCCCTTAGTGATCCCACTGCCTGGATCCTCTTTCTCCAGATACCCCCTTTGCCTTTGCCGATCTCACTGCCTGGATACTCTTCCTCCAGATACCCGTGTGCCCTTGCCGATCCCACTGCCTGGATCCTCTTTCTCCAGATAATACCCACAGAGCATGCTTCCTTTCACTTCCTTTAGGTTTTTGCTTAAGTCTCACCTTATCAGAGGTTTTCCCTGATCCTGTCCAAACTAGATTATGAAATAACCTCTGCCATCACTGTAGGGTTGCTATGAGTCGGGGTCAACTCTACGGCAATGGGTATCGCTCTAGCCCCCTTATTCTGCTTTATTTTTCTTCATAACACTTATCACCACCTGGTATATATCTATATGTCTAATAAGGAGCCCTGGTGGCACAGTGGTTAAGCACTCAGCTGCTAACTGAAAGGTTGGCAATTCAAGCCTATGAGCCGCACTGTGGAAGAAAGACCTGGCAATCTGCTCCCATAAAAATTACAGCCTTAAAAACCTTATGGTACAGTTCTACTCTGTCACATAGGGTTGCTGTGAGTCAAAATTGACTTGACAGCACCTAACAACAATTAACAACATGTCTGTGTCTATGTCTGTCTCCTCCCAAGGGCGCAGACTGTCTTTGTTTTCTAGCGTATCACCAGTGCCTAGAACAGAGACTGACATATAGCATGCTCAGTAAATACTTAGTAAGTGAAAAATGAACAGTAAAAGCTTTTGAATATGTTGCCTGTTTTAAAATTTAGAAGCTCTATCTTCCATGCCTGTGACATAGCCAAAGCCAAATGCAAGTCCTCCATCCCCTTTATTTAAGTCTCTTCCGACAAGTTTACTTTTCAGAGAAACGTTTACATGGTTTGTTTTCTTTGGCAGAGCAAGAATATGATCCTGGACCAAGCCTTTAAATATATAACGGAATTGAAAAGGCAAAATGATGAACTCCTACTTAATGGAGGAAACAATGAACAAGGTAAAGATTTTAAGACTTTTTGTTTTTTTTTTTAATGCAACAAATCTACATTCACAGTGCAGCTTATATTAGGATGCAACAAATCTAAGTTCACAATGCAGCTTATATTAGGATGCAACAAATCTAAGTTCACAGTGCAGCTTATTTTAGAATGCAGAGGGTTCTTCCCATCCCAAAACAGTATTAAGACCCTGCATTCAGTAGGTCTGAAGAACAATGTTTAAAATAAATTCATATTTTTAGTTTAACTCTTTTCCCCTTCTGTGAGTGAGCAACTCTAATTTTTCAGGTGTACGTAATTTTGATTTTAGACTTGTCTATATACTTCATGTTTGTGTAACTCATGATGCTAATAATGCTGGATATCCTTTCTTCCAGATGGATCTTCTAACTAAGGGAATCCCAGGGGAGGGTGTAGGGAGAGTTCTGCTTAGAGTGACTTAAAAGCAAGATTAGTGATTTGACCGTGCCAAGACTTAACTCTGTGAATTAACTCCAAAGGCCAACACGTTCCGTTCATAATTGTTTATATCGCATGTAATATGTTCATCTACCTGATCATTTAATGATATTTGATTTTTAGATAGAGGTAGCTTTTCTATGCTGTCAAATGAGTTTTGTTTTCCCATCAGCATTGGAGAGAAGGTTTGCTTTAACAGCTAGAAAGAAAAATATCCCAGGCCAAGGGTAAAGCTCAGGGTGGTAGGCCAGTGTGAATTGTCCTTTATTTATGCCTCTAAAAGGAGCAGAGAGAGAATTTCCTGTGACAACCCAATTCGGCTACCTTAAAAGGAAAGAAACGGGCAGAGTTTGCTGAGGTGGGGTAATGCTGGGCTGTGTTTGTTGTGACGGGTGGGAAGGGTATTGGAAACCATGTCTAGAAGGTCAGCACTCAGAATTCTCCGTGTTTAGTTTTAGTTAGGTAACAACTCACCCTCTCACTGGTTAGCTGTCTCTTATGTTGGGGGCTCTTTTTTATGTCAGAGATACTGTCAGATAGTGAGATACATAATATGTGTGTACTAACCATTTGGAGGCACCCCACAAAAGGGACGGCACAGCCTGGATGATGCTTCAGCTTTTCAAATGAGAGCTCCCTTGGTTTCAAAACACAGATGTGGAGGCAGTAAAGTTACCCTAGCGAAAAGGGAAACTGTAGAAACAATATTAAGTTGCAGGGGGCTCCGAAAAAGCTGAACAGCTAGACTAGGGGTTGGGGCAGCATGTGAGGTACCTAGAGTCTCACTCTGTTGTCATCTCTGTCATCATCGTTCCTCTGGTACATTTTGGGCATCTGCTCCATCCTCGTCCTTCTCCCACCACCTTCCTCTGCGTACTCACTGTGCACGTGGCCGTCCAGCACCGTGACCAAAGCCACGGCCTCTGGAGTTAGGCCCACCTGGCTTTGCCTTTCAATTTCACTTTCTTGATACCCTTTGGCTAATTAACTGCTCCAAGTCTGTTTCCCTGTCTTAAAATGGGAATAATTACAGTATTTACTTTACTGACTTTATATGTTAACTACTCTAAGCCAGTTTCTCATCTCTAAAAATGTGATAATAATAGGTAATACCCACCTCATGATTATTTTGAGGATTAAGATAGAAAATGTGTGCAAAGCACTTAGACTAAAGCCTGGCACATAGTGAATGTGTGACAAGTGTTACCTGCTTATTGTTATTATTATTTGAGACAATGCAATCAAGTGGGAGCAGTCATCATTATTATCTGGTCCATTTGGCTGTCCTTTATAATGTCTGTGGTGCACTGTTGTCTTCTGTGTCTCTTAGTTTAAATATTTGACGAAGATAATCTGCGAGTCTCAGTGCATCCTGGTGTGAATGGAACTTTTCATTTCAGTACCTCACGAGGCACCGGGTTTGAGGATTGTCTGCCTTTGGTGGGGTGGAATGCCTCTTAGTCATGGCAAGGAAGGTGGAGATCACAAGACATAAAATACCACCATCCAAGGCTGCCCCATTAGTAGGATCCATGGGTGAGGCAGCCTCCTTTAGGAAACCTTCATTGCTCATAGCATACAAGGAAACCATATACAAAAAGTCAAGGAAAATGCAGGTGTCATTGTTAATGTTTCTTCAGTGCTCTACCACTTCTCACATGTTCTTCTTGTTCATTTTAATCTCCATTTTTTCAAAGGGTGAAATAGAAACTAGTTTAAAGCCATGTATAAAAGAGACTCTATTACCGTCACAAGTCATGTTAGCTATTACAGCAGTTCAAATGATATTTTATTGATATTCAGTATTACTTGTCTGGCATGTTACCTTGATGTCAGTGTATCTTCCCATGCTTCACCTTTGTAACTGCCCTATTGGAAATTTTTTGAATTGGGAGCTTTGAGCTTTCTACAGTATGAGTAATTTCTCAGTTGCTGCACTTTAAAGATGTTGTTGTTGTTGTTAGGTGCCGTCGAGTTGGTTCCGACTCATGGTGACCCTATAGGACAGAGTAGAACTACCCATAGGGTTTCCAAGGAGCGGCTGATGGATTTGAACTGTTGACCTTTTGGTTAGCAGCCAAGCTCTTAACCACTGCACCACCAGGGCTCCACTTTAAAGATGTACACAGTAAAACCTGTGAAAACTGGAACCTGTGTAAGGCGGAAACCTGTCAGAGGAGGAAAACTCAAATATTTTCCACTAAAACAAGCAATAGAAAAGTGGCAAGACAGCACCCTGTCAAAGATGGAGACCCGGAAGAGCAAAGCAGTGTCCCACTGAGTTCTGGCTCTCACAGGTTTCACTGTACTTTTACAAGGATGGTATGGGTGTTTGATTTACCATTCTAAAAAGAGGAAAGGACTTGCATTAGAAAAGAAGTGAAGATTGTTAACTGATGTATTTAGAATGCCAGAATTCAAATCAGAAGCTTAGTACACATTTATTTTTCAGGTTATTGTAAATTAATACTGACATTCATGAATATTTTTTATTTTTATTTTTCAATATTATAGCTGAAGAAATTAAAAAGCTACGGAAACAACTGGAAGAAATCCAAAAAGAAAATGGCCGATACATTGAATTACTGAAAGCAAATGACATATGCTTATATGATGACCCGACAATCCACTGGAAAGGAAATCTTAAAAACTCGAAGGTCCCTGTTGTTATTCCTAGTGATCAGGTTCAAAAAAATATCATTGTTTATTCAAATGGGAGTCAGCCTGGTGGAAACAGCCAGGGAGCAGCTGTTCAGGGGATAACATTTAATGTTGGTCATCATTTACAAAAGCAGACTGCCAATGTGGTGCCCGTACAGAGGACGTGCAATCTTGTGACTCCTGTGTCTATTTCTGGAGTCTACCCTTCTGAAAACAAACCATGGCATCAGACCACAGTTTCTGCATTGGCTGCTAACCAGCCTATTCCTCTTTGTCTTCCTGCTACCATTTCTGCTCAAAATATTCTTGAGCTTTCCACCTCAGAAAGTGAATCCAGTGTGCTTGGTGCCACCAGTGGCTCACTGATTGCTGTTCCAGTTGGGCCTGAACCTCACCAACACCATTCCTTGCACACATCTCTAAACGATCAAAACTCATCTGAAAATAAGAATGGGCAAGAGAGCCCCCAGTTGCTGAAGAAAATGGTCCCTTGTACGTCAGACATCCCCTCCAGCTCCTCAGCAGCTGCCGCTCAAGTGCAGCAAGGCAGCAAGCCCTGGCTGAGCACACAGGACCTGAGAAGTGATCTTCACAACACCCTTATTGTTTCAGTTACCACCACAGTCTGCTCCCAGCCTCCCAGGCTTGCAGGTGGCTCCTCTCCAGTGGGCATTAGCAAGGGTACAGACTCCACAAACGGTACTGCAGTGGTGGCACCATCTGTCCCTGGAGTGGGGAAGACCGCCACTCCTGTGAGCACTCTGTCTGCAAACCCTTTGGACAGTGGCTGGACTCTTTCTTGTTCTTTGCCTTCTTCAAGTGTTAGTACTTCAGATTTGAAAAACATTAATAGCCTTACCCGCATTTCCTCAGCTGGAAACACACAGACAACATGGACTACTTTGCAACTGGCAGGAAACACCATTCAGCCCTTAAGCCAGACACCATCTATCGCTGTGACCCCAGTATTAAATGATTCTGGTCCTAGCCCCACCACAACCAACGACAGTAGACATGTGGCTACAGGCATCAGCTTGAATAATTCCTTTCCAGCAGATGGGCAAGCAGTTGAGCAAGTAGTTGTAACCTTGCCTTCTTGTTCATCTTTACCTATGCAGCCACTAATTGCCCAGCCACAAGTTAAATCTCAACCTCCAAAAAATATCCTTCCATTGAATTCAGCAATGCAGGTGATTCAGATGGCTCAGCCAGTTGGGTCGGCTATTAATGCAGCTCCAGCTAATCAAAATGTGATCATTCTTCAGCCACCCAGCACCACCCCATGCCCCACAGTGATGAGAGCAGAGGTTCCCAGCCAAACCGTAGGTCAGCAGATAGTGATCATACAGACAGCCAGTCAGAACCCTTTGCCACTCCTCTCTGCACCACCTCCTGGTTCTGTTCGACTCCCCATCAATGGAGCCAGTGCTATTATAGGGTCTAATAATTCAGTGCAAAATGCTTCAACCCCACAAACTTTTGGAGGAAAGCACCTTGTCCACATATTACCAAGACCTTCATCTTTATCAACATCTAATTCAGCACAAACTTTTTCTGTTGCCATGTCAAACCAACAGCAGCCTCAAACCATTTCTTTAAATGGACAGCTCTTTGCTTTGCAGCCTGTGATGTCTTCATCAGGAACTACAAATCAAACCCCTATGCAAATTATTCAACCCACCACCAGCGAAGATCCAAATACCAATGTTGCCCTGAATACATTTGGTGCTTTGGCCAGCCTCAATCAAAGCATATCACAGATGGCTGGGCAAAGCTGTGTACAATTGTCTATTAGCCAGCCTGCCAATCCTCAAACTGCTGCAAATAGCCAAACCACCTCAGCTAACTGTGTTTCATCGACAACTACTGTAGCACCTCCAGTGACAACAGATAATTCAGCCACACTACCCGGCACGTACCATCTAGTGACTGCTCCCTCAGTGAACACTGTAGCGTGTTTGCCACCTAATGTGAAGTCAAAAAGGGTGAATAAGAAGCCAGTTGCCAAGAAACACTTAGCAGCTAACAAGTCAGCCTGTCCTCTGAGTGCAGTCAGAGAAGTGGGGAAGCTGGACTGCCCCAGCGGGGAAGGGTCTGCAGAGCCATCCTGTAATGACGTGCTACTGGATAGCTTCCCTGTTGCTTTGCCATCTGTTGCTATGTCCCAGGCAAGTAGTGTAAATGTGTCTGGTTCACATTCTTTGGAAGTTCTAAATTCTGAGCCCGTATCCAAATGTAAGTCAACGAAAGAGTCTAACTCACCCTCCCAAGAATCTGTAACAAGTGAACATAATGCAACAGCCCCAGCAAAATCCAAAGATTCTACCCCTGTTTTGCAACGAGAGACATCTCAGGATAAGCCAGCAACTAGTTTGGCATTATCAGATGCTGCCAAGTCCTGCAGTTCAGCCAATGTGTTGATTCCATCTCCAAATGATCCCCACATTTTGGCTTCTCAGGTTTCTGGTCTGTCATCTACCACAAACACTACAAGCACTGACTGTGTTTCTGAGGTAGAAATCATTGCTGAAACTTGTAGGATTGAGCAGGATTCATCAGATACAACGCAAACCACTGGCCTCTTAAAGGGGCAAGGTTTAACTGCCTTGCTATCTGATCTTGCTAAAGATCCTCAGAAAACATCCCTTTCAGTCCAGGTGGACCATCCTGACTTTTCTGAAAATTCTAAAATAGTAGACTCAAGTGTGGATTTACATCCTAAACAGGAGCTACTATTGCTGAACAGTGATGGTAGAGATCCGCCACAGCATCATTCCTGCATCCCTGATCCGGAGGTTATTAACGGTTCTCTGTTCACCAGTAGGCAGGCTGACTCCCCCATGTCAACCAGCTCTGGCAGTAGTCGGAGTTTCTCAGTGGCATCCATGCTTCCTGAAGCAACCAGAGAGGATATGACCAGCAGTGCAACAACTAATACATGTGACAGCTGTACCTTTGTAGAGCAAACTGATATAGTAGCTCTTGCAGCAAGAGCTATTTTTGACCAGGAGAACCTTGAGAAGGGAAGAGCTGGCATCCAGGCTGATATAAGGGAAGCTACTTCAAAGCCTTCTGAAACATCATCTTTAGAGGGAGATCAGCCTTTCAAATCACAGATACCTAAAGAGAATGGCACAGGACAGGCAGAAGTGGTACCAAATGAATTTAATTCTCAGGATTCAGTTGAAGCACCTGTGGATAGGCCCCTTGAAAAACCAAGTTGCTCTGTGGGAATCAAAACGTCAGATGCCTCTTTACAGGTTTCAGCTTCTCAGTCACCAAGCGTCACCAGTTTAAGTGTGAATAATCTTATCCATCAGAGCAGCATCAGCCATCCTCTGGTCAGCTGTGCGGGTTTATCCCAATCTTCAGAGCAAACAACTGTCTCTGCAGCAGTTAATCTAACTGTTTCATCTAGCTCCTATGGCAGTCAGCCTCCTGGACCGTCTCTGATGACTGAATATGCCCAAGAACAGCTAAATACTATGACCAGTACCATACCAAATTCACAGATTCAAGAGCCGCTCTTAAAGCCAAGTCACGAAAGCCGTAAAGATTCTGCTAAGCGTACTGTCCAAGATGATCTTTTACTTTCTTCTGCTAAACGTCAAAAGCATTGTCAGCCAGCCCCACTCAGGCTTGAAAGTATGTCTTTGATGAGCCGAACTCCAGACAGCATTTCTGATCAAACTCAAGTAATGGTTAGTCAGATCCCTCCCAACTCTTCAAACTCAGTTGTGCCTATTAGCAACCCAACACATGGAGATGGCCTTACACGACTGTTTCCTCCTGGTAACAACTTTGTGGCCCCAGCATTGAGGCAAACGGAAGTTCAGTGCAGTTCTCAGCCTTCAGTTGCTGAGCAGCAGCAAACCCAGGCAAGTCAACACCTACAGGCCCTGCAACAGCATGTTCCAGCTCAAGGAGTATCTCACCTTCATAGTAACCATCTCTACTTAAAGCAGCAGCAGCAACAGCAAGTGGGGCAATTAAGAGAGAGGCATCAGTTGTATCAGCTGCAACATCATGTACCTCATGCAGAGAGCTCTGTCCACTCTCAGCCTCATAGTGTCCACCAACAGAGAACCCTACAACAGGAAGTTCAGATGCAGAAAAAGAGGAATCTTGTTCAGGGCTCTCAGGCCTCTCAGCTTTCCTTACAACCGAAGAACCATGGAACTGACCAATCACGGCCCAAGAGTGGTCAGCCACATCCCCACCATCAACAGATGCAGCAACAGATGCAGCAACACTTTGGAAATTCCCAGCCAGAGAAGAGCTGTGAAAACCCTTCAACAAGCCGGAACCACCATAACCATCCTCAGAACCATCTTAATCAAGACATTATGCACCAGCAGCAGGATGTTGGAAGCAGACAGCAAGGTTCAGGGGTTACTTCTGAACATGTATCTGGACACAATCCCATGCAGAGACTTTTGACATCAAGAGGCTTAGAGCAGCAAATGGTTTCCCAACCAAGTATTGTGACAAGACCTTCCGACATGACTTGTACTCCACACAGGCCAGAGAGAAATAGAGTTTCAAGTTATTCTGCTGAGGCACTCATTGGAAAGACGTCTTCTAATTCAGAGCAGAGAATGGGTTTATCAATTCAGGGTTCTAGAGTTTCAGATCAGCTTGAAATGAGAAATTATCTCGATATTCCCAGAAATAAGAATTTGGCCATTCATAACATGCAGAGTCGTGTGGACCATACTGTTGCCCCAGAAATCCGCCTTTCTGATTGTCAGACATTTAAACCAAGTGGAGCCAGTCAACAGCCCCAGAGTAATTTTGAAGTACAGTCTTCAAGAAATAATGAGATAGGTAACCCTGTATCATCTTTGAGGAGTATGCCGTCCCAGACTTTTCGAATTAGTCAAAACACTGGTCCTCCACCAATCGACCGTCAAAAGAGATTACCTTATCCACCAGTTCAGAGCATCCCAACAGGAAATGCTGTTCCACCAAGGGACAGTGACAATGCATGTCACCAAAGTTTCATGCAGAGTTTACTTGCCCCTCACCTCAGTGATCAGGTCATTGGGAGCCAGAGATCACTCTCAGAACATCAGAGGAATACACAGTGTGGCCCCTCCTCTGCAATTGAGTATAACTGTCCCCCAGCTCATGAAAGTGTCCATATTAGAAGAGAGAGTGAGAGTCAGAATAGGGAAAGTTGTGACATGCCCTTAAACACAATCAACGCCAGGAACAGTACCTTGAATATTCCTTTTTCAAGTTCTTCTTCCTCAGGAGATATTCAAGGTCGAAACACAAGTCCCAATGTTTCTGTACAGAAATCCAATCCCATGAGGATTACTGACAGTCATGGGACAAAGGGCCACATGAACCCCCCAGTCACAACCAACATGCATGGGGTTGCAAGGTCAGCTTTGCCACATCCATCTGTGTCTCATGGAAGTGCTGATCAAGGGCCTCCTGTACGTCAAACCAATTCTTCAGTTCCCCAGCGATCAAGGCATCCCCTGCAAGACAGCAGTGGTTCCAAAATTCGTCAGCCTGAACGGAATCGTTCTGGAAACCAAAGGCATAGTAATGTCTTTGATCCAAGTCTTCCCCATCTTCCTCTGTCGACTAGTGGCAGTATGATTCTTGGACGCCAACAACCTACTACAGAGAAGAGAGGAAGTATTGTTCGTTTTATGCCAGATAGCCCACAAGTACCCAATGATAATTCAGCTCCTGACCAGCATACGCTGTCACAAAATTTTGGTTTTTCTTTTATTCCCGAGGGTGGCATGAATCCACCAATAAATGCTAATACTTCTTTCATTCCACAGGTTACCCAGCCGAGTGCCACTCGAACTCCAGCCCTCATCCCAGTAGATCCTCAAAATACTCTACCTTCCTTCTATCCCCCATACTCTCCTGCTCATCCTCCACTGTCCAATGATATTTCAATCCCCTATTTTTCTAATCAAATGTTCTCAAATCCTAGCACAGAAAAGGTAAACAGTGGAAGTTTAAATAACCGATTTGGATCAATTTTATCCCCTCCCAGACCTGTTGGCTTTGCTCAACCAAGTTTTCCTCTTCTTCCAGATATGCCACCAATGCACATGACCAACTCTCACTTATCCAATTTTAATATGACATCTTTGTTTCCAGAAATAGCTGCAGCTCTTCCTGATGGGTCAGCAATGTCCCCGTTGCTTACGATAGCAAACTCCTCTGCCTCTGACTCCTCCAAGCAGTCCTCAAACAGACCTGCCCACAACATAAGCCATATTTTAGGTCATGATTGCAGTTCAGCTGTTTAAATACTGATAGACTAAATATAAACGTGGTGAGTGAGATTACATATATGTGTGTGCATGCACACATGTACATGAAGAGTGAGACTGTGTTTGTGTATGTCTTTGTGTTTATGTAATCAATTTTCAGTTTCCTTCTGAATGTAGGGAAGCCATGTCAGAGATGATGCAGATACTGGATTGTCCAAAAAAAAAAATCTTTCATTTTAAACTGCATGATATGCTTTTTAAATTTCCAAGCAGATTTACAATTCCAAGTTTGATTTATAATCTTTTATTCCCTAAATATGGATCACCTGGAGGCCGAGGGGAGATCATTTTGGTATATGCTGGATGGTTGGAAGGAACCTAGATTTTGAACGTTATTGTTGATAATTTGTTAGATAGTTGAGTTGCTATCCAAAAATGTAGACAAAGTGACATAACACGGTGGTTCCTAACCAAATGCTGACTAATGCCAGCATCCAGACTAGTTTCTTATACATGGCAGGTGTTGAATTGAGTATTCATGGTTAAAGTCAAGCAGTTAACAAATAAATTTTAAAAACCCATTGCCATTGAGTCGATTCCGACTCATAGTGACCCTATAGGACAGAGTAGAACTGTCCCATAGGGTTTTCAAGACTGTGATCTTTAGGAAGCAGACTGCCACATCTTTCTCCCATGAAGTGGCTGGTGGGTTGCAGCCATCGACCTTTTGGTTAACAGCTAAGAGCTTAACCACTGCACCACCAGGGCTCCTTAACAAATAAATGAATTATATATAATCACCCTTTATTCCCAAGGTTTGTTTTACGTAGAGGCTTCTTGATTATAGAAATTCATAAATTACTTGATTTTTCATGTCTTGTTCTTCAAATATGGGAGCTGTATTATTATTTAATGTACCAAGATTCTTTAAAGCAAAGGTCTTTCTTAGATAATTATCCTTAAAAATGGAAAGCTAAAAAGTATATACATTTTTTTCCATTTTGTACTTGCATTTTGCATAGGCCGTATCAAGAAAAGCATTTATGTTGTGGAGTTTCGCGTATGTTCGGTTAGCAGTTGTTGTGTCAATTGAGTTTTGTTTCAGTATTCTCTGTTCATTCTATTTATTTGATCTTGAATTTTTTTTTTTTTTTTTTTTTTACATTCATTTAATCATTAGGACTGATCAGTAAATACTGTGTTTGGAATCTACCATTTATTTGAGCCTTACTTTGAAAATATTTCTGAGCAGATTCTTAAACTCTGTCAGTATTTTCATTTACTGATATTTATACTTAAAATACAACATCATATATTGCATTATTATCCTTCATAATAGAATTATAAGAAGATTGATTTGTTATTTTTCCTGATGGAAAATGTAAAATGGTGCTTCAAAAAATATAGTCTTTATATAAGTCCATGTATGTTATGTGTGTGTGTGTCTGTGTGTGTACATAGACATAGATTTTAAAGTATAAACCAGTCTTTTAAAAATAGGCTCGCCATCTGAAAATGGGAAATTGAGACTTGAGACTTTCTGAAGTATAGAAAAACTTGATGTAGGAGTTCTAAAAAAGCCCGAAAGAAGTTAATAATAAATTTAAAGTGTATATACATGTATATATATGCGTATATATGTGTATATATACATACACACTCATTTTGCATTTTGAAAAAAGGCAACACTAAGAAGACAACCCTATACTCATGTTCTTAGACCCATTGCTTTTTGTTATATTCTCCCCAAAATGGGATGATGTGGGGCAGAGGAGGGGAGACATGCAAGAAACTACTCTGTCAGCAGAATGAACCCAGGACCAGCATTTTCCCCTCCTATTAAAAACCTCCTTAGGCTTGGTCAGTGGTTAGCTCCTGGGAATACCTCTTCTAAAGACTCATTAAAAGGGTCATCTGCGTCTCTTCAACTGTTTTCAGCAAACTTTCCTATCTGCTTCTGCTGCCCGCTAAAGCAGCCTCCTGGGGGCAAAAAGTAAACAAGAAAAACTTTAGATTTTTTTCCCTTCAGTATGGCCATAGGGAGGGATAGGGGGACTTCATGAGTAAGTCAGGTAAGACAAAGAGAAGCACAAAGATAAGATGGTTTGTTGTGGAAACAGTGAGATTTAGACTAGGTTTTTTAATTCTCTTAACTGAATTTTAAGCTTTAACATTCAAGTTTTTCTTTGTACTTTAAAGGTCCAATCGGCCAGTTTCAAGAAGGGCAGTTTTCGGTGTGTTTGGCTATTCATATTCATTCTCTGTCTCGCTGTCTCACACACACACAAACACAAATATGTGACTGCATAGTGGCTGTTTTGTTCTGAAGCATCGCTAGATATAATTGGGTAACAGGTTATAAGGTAACAGGCTAAGGAGAAGTGCAATCACCTGCTGTTTTAAATTTGAACCCTGCAGTGCGAAGACCTCAAAGCCTGATAACTTCAGATATTTGTTTTGCATTAATTTTTTTTCCTGCTGTTCAGAGATAGCATTTACATTTCTCTGAGGTTTCATTCCAAGAATATAACACTTTGATCCTGAGTCTCTGCACCTAAGTAAGGCTTATCTGACCCTCTAAAGAGAGGTGTGATCCTCTGCAGACAACTGGGTTCCTCCTTCCATGTAGCTCTAATTACCTTGCTTACATATGCGTATGTAAGTAAGAGATCATTTCACACAGGGACTCAGTTCTGAAAGTGTTCAGAGCATAGTACTCTTGTTTTTGTTTAAAAGCATGAGTGTATGAATTTACCAGCAGTATTAAGTATTTGATAAATGGAGCTACATGATTTTTTGTGAGGCAATTTATAATATCCAGTGATATCTGGACTTAATTTAGGCAAAGGGATGGCCGAAAACGGAGTCAATTTTTATTATAGTAAATGTTACCCTTCCTGGCTTGCTAACATATGACTATAGAAAGTAAAACCATTTCCACAAATAATTTTGTAATTTCTGGAAAAACGAAATCATCTGAATTATAAGTGAAAGTCATTGACTAAATAATCTTTTTTTAACATATTTATCACATAGAATCAATTACAGAAGGTGCTTAATCCCTCTGCATATTTAACAGTACTTTCTAATACTTCTAATGAGATGAACATTTTTAGGTTTCTGTCGTGTGTAAAATTTTAATGTCAATCATAGATAAAAGAAATCAAGTTTGATGTCATTTTTTTTTGTTTTTTGATACATATAGGTGACTTTGGGATATCTTATATATGTTTTATACCATTTCAGGAAATTTATTTTTGTTTTTATTGTAAGACTTTTTCAGGTACCAGAGATGGTACCTTCTTTCTAAATAAGGAGTGAGAATTCCACAGTAATCATGCGTTATAAAATTTAACATATCAGAACTGTGAAAAGGGAAGAATGGGGAGGGAGTGTTCTTTTGCAGTGATTTCCAGTCATGTATCATAGTTATGTTGAATTGGAAGGAAGAATTAACTTTTTAAAATCAGCCTTCTTCAAAAACAGAATTATTTAAGCATTTTATAGATAATTTATTTGCCTAGCTCTTGCCTTCTAACTTTAGCCATTTTATAGAGAGGCTAAAACATACTCCAAAAAATGTGAGAAAACATTTTAAATGGAGTGAAGTTTGAAAAAATATGAGAAAGGGTAAAAGCTTATTAAGATGCATCTTCTTAATCTTTCCTTCTTTATTTTTCCTTTGGTACGCAGGTACACAGGCTCTCCTTTTCTTCCTTCTGCTCCATGTCAGATAGGTGGCAGGAAGCCTGGTTGTTTCCTCAGCAGGATGATGATTCCTTTGCCTTGACAGGCTCTTTGGGCCCACCATCTGTGGGACCCGTGTGTAGTAGTGAGCGGATACTCCCCGATCAGTGGTTCCCAATTCCTGGCTTTGCGAACCACTGTGTGTCCTACTCTCTTAAAAGGTAACAAGAATTTCTTGAAACAAAATTGAGTTAAAATATTCCAACATGCCATATAGCTCTTGTTCCTTTATTGGTGGACTTATTTTTCCCTTGGGAGAATGGAGACAGGGCAAAGGCGGTCCCCAAATCAAATGGCTTTGGGTTGAAATCTTAAGGCACCTGAAAGTCGTTGTAGTTCTGTTGTTTATATAAACTCTGCAGTTGTCAGGAGATATTACACCCATGGCTGTGTACATCCAGGGGGCAACAGTTTTAGCCAATGACCAGATGGACTAATGTGACGTTAATCTGTGAGTGATGATTTTATGATGACCCGTTGCCATCAAGTTAATTTTCGACTCATAACAACCCTGTAGGACAGTAAAACTGCCCCATAGGGTTTCCAAGGAGAGGCTGGTGGATTAGAACTGCCAAAGTTTTGGTCAGCAGCCTGAGCTCTGAACAACTGCGACACCAAGGTGCCATACGTATATGCAAATTAAAGGCAGAAGTTAGTTTTTTCTTGAGATGCCCTTTTGGCTGAACGCTACCATTTTTCTTCCCCCAAGTTAGACAGAAAATGGTCCTTTTTTTGACAACCATATTCTCTGCATTCTATACTGTGTAAGCCTAAGCATGTGTGTACGAGAGCCTGTGGGGGACACCAAGCTTAGATTGAGGCAGTCCACTTCGCTAGTAAGCGTTGAGGTCCTTCTTGGACACAGAGCTTCTAGTTCTGCCCACATGCCTCTACCCTGGTACTGCACTTTACCTGAAACTGTGCCTCTGGTCCTTAGACCAGCCATTGGAACATATCGCCCACCCACTTCTCAGTTATAGCCAAGGACCAGCCTGGATGATACATACTGTGTAATCAGACACTGCCTAGAAGACAAGTACAGCTGATGTTTCTCACTGTTGCCTTATCATTTTCTGAGCCATCTTTGATGCTGATCTTGTCAAACACTTAACTAGTTAGTAGCAAAACTCCTTATAAACTCAGAGCTTACGTGTGGTGGTGGTTCAGCATCCTTGTTTCTAGATTTGCACAAACTGTCAACTGTAATTTTTTTGTTTTTGGTGCATGAGCCAACTTGGGTTGAACATATTGGACATAATAGGCAAATTGGTGTTATTTTGGATGACCACATAATCTGTCACTAGTGATTTAGTGAGACATAGAGAATAACTCTTCATTTGTAATTTAACACATTTTTTGAAAAACAGATGATCTTTAATTTTTTTGTTGTACCTTTTATTGTGTGTACAAGTCTACACCATATTATGTCACAGGAACTTAAAGTTTACTCCATCGATATTCCTTCTTCACTTTTCTGCGTCTCTCCTGCCCTCCTGCCCTGGCCCCAAGTCTTAAAACCATCTTTTATCTGTGAGGTCACTGAGGCACTGGACTTGACTATAGTGGTAACCTTTAAGGGGCTTTGAACTCTTGATCTTCCAAGAAGAAAGGGACCAGTGTTACTTAAGATGCTGCAGTTGTGTTACTGTGAAGAAAATATTAGCTTCCGCTTTCATCAGGCTATATATATATTTTACCAAAATGAAAGAATATATATATTTTCATTTTGGTACAATAAGGTGGAAAAATCTGAGGAGAACATAATTACATTCACAAATTATTTATAGATAACACTGGGTGAGAAGCTTACTGTAGGGCAGTCACCAGGAAAAAGCTAATCGTAGTGCTTTCAATAGTTTCATATTTGTCTATTCTCATGCCAGCAGTGTCTGCTGTGCACTGTGTCCTTTTGCTGTAAA